TAAATCACTATAGAAAACACGTTCAATCCAATACAAAACTAACATAACCATATCTAAATCACTTGTGCCACCACAATAGTCGGTAAGAATTTTTTACAATAAATCACTATAGAAAACACGTTCAATCCAATACAAAACTAACATAACCATATCAAAATCACTTGTATCACTATAGCGAGTAAGTACAGTAAACCAGAATTTTTTACAGTAAATCACTATAGCTGATAGAAAACACGTCCAATCCAATACAAAACTAACATAACCATATCTAAATCACTTGTGTCACCACAATATTCGGTAAGAATTTTTTACGTTTAATCCAATACAAAACTAACATAACCATATCTAAATCACTTGTATCACTATAGCGAGTAAGTACAGTAAATCAGAATTTTTTACAGTTAGAAAACACGTTCAATCCAATACAAAACTAACATAACCATATCTAAATCACTTGTATCACTATAGCTCGTAAGTATAGTAAACCAGAATTTTTACAGTAAATCACTATAGAAAACACGTTGAATCCAATACAAAACTAACATATTCATATCTAAATTACTTGTATCACTGTAGCAAGTAAGTACAATAAATACTGTTCGTTATCGAATATAACCATGAATCCACTTCGTGGACAGTCACTAAATTATTGTCCACGGTGTGGACAATAGAATTTTTACAGCAAATTAGAAATATTGATAGTCGTAGTTTTTATCGCGGTTTTCGAAATAGTAGAAATGAGTAAAAAAAAATCTTCTCTAGTATACCTGTATATTGTGTATACTCATATATCGGATTACCTTAGCACGTTGGTTTAAGATCGATGTTTGATTACATACATACGTACTTATTGTTTGAAGCAATAAGTAAATCAAGCATCGATCTTAAATCAACGTGCTAAGGTAATCCGATATATGAGTATACACAATATACAGGTATACTAGAGAATTTTTTTTTTTTTACCACTCACTAGGGTTCTGCAAATGCCCGTGCATGGCACATTGGCACCAGGCCGGGCACTAGTGCCTTATGCCATGCATATACCCATAGACACAAAAGGGTATAAAATACTAGGCACATTAAAGGTATGGGCGCAAAGTGCCAGGCACTAGCAAAGGCATGGTGTCGGGCAAAATACCGGGCACAAGTGCCAGGCATAATTAAATAATAAATATCAAATTTCTGTGCCTGTGCCTATGCCCATGCCAAATTTTTGTGCCTGTGCTCATGTCTATGCCAAAAATTTAATATCTGTACCTATGTCCATATCTAAATTTTTTTTAAATTTTCGTGCCTTGCCCATGCCTAGATTTTTTGTTGGGCACAGCACGATTCTAAACCTGCATTCTGGTAGGTAGGTGGATTTGGTCGTATTTCCAGTAATCTGACCCTGCATAATCATTGACCTATTAATCAAATAACAACAAGCTATGAATTTTTGCTTGAAATTTACCAGTCTGAAACAGTTGTCCTAAAAGGATCATAGTTGCATTTAATTTTAGATGAGAAACATATTAAGTTTCGCGAATATCCTTTGTAGAATTCTACAAAAAAGGATTAGTAATATTAATATTCTGAATCATTAGTTACTTGCAAAGACATCATCTTCGATCTTGATTTGATGCTATCAAGAGAAAATAGGACTTCAGGCTTTCAGCTAATAAAAAATGATTAGTGATATATATGATATGAGAATACATATTATATATGTTACCATCAAATTTTTAAAGGCTGAATCCAATAAATAATGTCACGGATGATGGTGAAATTTGGACCTAATTTAATATGAAATTTTAGAATTTTTTAGGGTGTATTATCCTAGCTTTTTTTTTTTTTTTTAGTAATAGGTTAGAATTTAGGGTTAAAGTTGCTTAGAAAAGAGATTTCAATAGGGTTTATATTTTCAAAAGAAGACCCAAATTTCACGATTATCCGCGACAAATAATAAATGATAAACTTGAAAACTGTTTTTTTTGGAAGCAATCATATATAGATCGAAGGATTGTAATAATACTAACTATTTACTTTCGCAAAGTATTGATGAATTATCGGTGATCTGTAATTCTTCCTGTGTGTTTGTCTCAATAATTTCGGCTAATTCCTCACTCGTAGATCCAGACTGTATAAATCTGTTTTCAGGGTCGATAATAAATGAGTGAATGAGACTAAAAATATAAACGGTACAGTTCAGGAATCCTTAAATCATCAAATAAAACACATAATCTTTAAAAGCTTATAAATAAAAAACTAAAGTAGTTATAAACAAAATCTCTCTATAGAATAATAAAATCAAACCTAAAGAACAAAGCTATAGAGTTAATTTTTTTATTTAATTAATATTTAATAAAGTTATATCCTTTTAAAATTGACCAAATTTATTAATAAATTAAAATTTTGACCACCTTAATTCTGGTCAAAATTATTTGAAATTAATATAATTCTGGTCAAAATTTTTAATATAATTTTGCTAAATATAAATTTTTTTTTATACACTTCTCTCTCTCTCTCCTCTCTCTCTCTCTCTCTCTCTCCCTCTCTCTCTCCCTCTCTCTCTTTCTCTCTCTATTTTATAACTAATTATATATTAAGTCAATTATAGCCAATTATATTAAATTATTTTTGTGTAACCTAAGCCTAAAAAAAAAATTGAACTGTGATGAAATTCCTGACCATAATTTGCTCTTTGATATATTAATCTTAACATTTTGATCACATTTTTGTACAACCAGTCAATAAATTTGGCCGTTATATTAGTGACTTGATGATTTAAGGATTCCTGAACTGTAGGTTAATATTGTCTTATTAAACAGTTATATTTTCTATTATATAAAAGTTAAATTTTATATGGTTTATATTAGTTTGAGCTAAAAAATGGCGTGATTATATCAAGAGCGATTATAACGAGGTCTAACTGTAATACCAAAGTAAATTTCTTCTGATTCTTTTCCGGAATCAGTAGACCTTATCCAAAGAAACTTCTTTAAGTTGTATATCCATTATGGAAAATGTAACGAATCATCTTCGCCAAAGTGAAGCGTACCGATAGCGCCCTTGCGCATTGCCTATAATAATTACAACGGTTCAGGCGACCTCACAAAGGCAAACAGCAATTGGGTATTTTGTTGATTGCTTATCCCGCAACGAATCAGCTTTATGAAATATACCGATATCACCTTCACGTATTATTTATAGTACACCCTTTCTCTGCACTAAAATAATAACTCTGGCGATCGCACAATAGCAATCTAAAGGAAAGGGACTTGACAATTAGAAAATATACTTACTTTAGATCTAATACATTTGTCGAATTTATTTTTTACTTCTTTGAGTACTTTGAGTACACCAACTTTTGAACTCATTTTTTAATATACTAAATGTTTTAAATAACGCCTCGTTTGCCGACCGATTTTTTATAGAAATAACTTATAATTTATATCATATATGCAATATTGTTGCATCTGCTGCTATAAGATCAGGTGTAACGTGAAATCAAAACAACTAAAATAAACTGTTTCTTTTTTTGTTAGGGTGAGGTGAGGAAAGATTTTTTTTGTTAGAACACGAAGAGTAGTTTTATATACAGCAAGACCTCCCTAAGTGCCCCCCTCGGGACTATAGTAAAAAAAAAGCAAAATGTGCACTTAAAGAGAGTGTACATTTATAGAGAACAGAATATATAGTGCTCTTATAAGTTGGGGCTAAGCTATGCCGTGCATTTAGAGAGAATTTACATAGGGCGTGCACTTATAGAGTGTGCACTTAGGGAGGTCTTACTGCTGTACTGTATAATGCTTTTGTTTTGAATTTTCAGATCGTGCTACGTTACACTTGATTAGAGTGTCCAGAATTATGATATGATAAATGCGTGCGGCAAATCTTAAATTATGCGAATTATGCAGGCCCCAGAATTAGGGCTGAAAATTATGAACTGCGCATTCTAAAAAATTTCGCTGACCAACCAGATTTTAAGATCAGGTTAAAGCAATTTATTACCTATTAAACCATTAACAAAAGTTTTTCTTGCGAAATTTTTGGTTTTATTAAAGTTTTCTAATTGCAAAATAGAACATTTTTGTCCCTCATCGAGGGTGTTACACAATAAAAACAGAACGAAAACAGAATGAAACAGAATGAAAAGCAACTATGGGTTATCTGTCCCTTCCGCTCACGTGCTATACGTGCTATACATGCTAATAGTGCAGAACTCGAAAGAATCGAACGAATCGTACGTAACTTTCTAAAACCGATGGTTTTCTAAGCTATTGCACGTCGTAATGGGCGGGCGAAAAAAAACCAGACAATTTCATCTGGAAAAAACCCTAAGATCCCCTACGACTACTCTAATACTAACACGGGTGCTATGAAAACCTGTATACAACATTCTTTCGTGACTGTCGTCCGGCAGGCCACCTCTTTGTACAAACACAAAAATTACTTCACGCCTGTCGTCTCGGCAGGTCGCTTCAATATACACAAAAAACAAGAAAACTTCTCTGTGACTGTCGTCCCGACAGGCCAATAAAACAAAATATGACAGTCGTCCGACAGACCATAAACTACCCAAAATCGGTTAAAAAACGACAAACGCCGACCCAATGGTTCTCTAAATAGCCCTCAAGTCTCTGTACGCTCGTGCACAAGGGCCGGGTAGGGCGGGCGAAAAAACCAGACAAAATTGGGTTAGCAGAAAAAACAGAAGATACCTTTCATGAAAAAACCCGTTCCTCATAAATACTACTAACGATTACTAATCTCAAATACTACGTCAATACGTCATTAAATCATATACGAATCAAACAATGAATCACAAACGAAATCATACGATAAATCACTGTGACGCATCAAATGGCTAAAATCATACGATAAATCACGATAATGCTTCAACAATCAATTACCCCACGATTCGAGACAAAATGCTGCTCCGATACTTTCGTATCGGGCAGCTAATAATCTTATACTATTATGGTGAAATTTTAGGCAACGCTAAAAGAGTTAAAATAATTACATTACATACAAATCATACTAACAAAGTTTGACCGGTATCAATCGATAACTGTTACTACATTTGGAACTATAATTTAATTTTTAAAAGTATACCAAGCACTGATAGTTTGGCCAGCGCTATTCATGCTACATAAAATTACGAAAAATTACTGGTGTTACGGGGTGAATTGTATGTTCGATAATCTATACTATAAAATATAGACTTTATGTGATAAGGCAACTCGTCAGAGACGTGACGTTGGTGATTTGACAATAATTTAATTTATTAAAAAGGTTTATCAGGGTGATTTATTAAATGTATTATGAAGGAATTATTGGAATCCCGTAGGATGCCTTTTACAAGAGAGAAATTACTGTGCTTTTATAGCTTTTGCTAACTTAACGAATTCAAGGGGCTTACAATGATAATTACAACACTATAATTAAAGAGAAGGCTTTGCTTCATTTCTTGTAATATTTCATATTACAGCCACTTGCAATTATATCTTGAATCTCGGTCTTCTTTCATTTCTTCTTACGTGTACTTGATCTTCGGATTTCACGTTGGTTGTTGATTGTCTTCGGCCGATAAGCCTCAACCGATAAACCAGTATTGATAGTGGTATTACCTCTAATACGTATCATGGGTTTATTGCACCTAATTTCGTAGATCCCGTGACACTGGCGGTATAATATAAATTTAGGTCGATTTGATAATGCCGGCGATAACATTATTATGTGTAACTGAATTTTGCCGACATTAAATGGTGCCCGTTGACCAATACAGTAGAGTATCTTTATTCATGGGATTATGCGCAATTTCTTTAAATTAACAAATTATGCGGATATTATGCCGGATCATACTCTACACTTGATCTTAAAATTTGATTGGTCGATCGTGTGAGAGCGATAAAATTGACATCGCTAGATGCGATTAGTATTGTTCTTTGCACAAAATTTACAGTACATGCACGAAAAATTTCCCACGAATTGCACAATTGAACAATTGATTGTGCAAGTTGAATAATCATATATCTCTGTATTCAATAAAGTATTCATATGGGTTGTTGCCTAGCAAATCGGGGCTTAGAGAGGTTCTAACGGAAATTGAGATTTTTAGTGGATTATGTTCCCAAGCATGTGCTTTATTCGTAGTAAAAGTTTGGATACTTATTAGCATATTATAATTTAGTACAATTTTGTACGCAGTTTTTTTTATCTAATCCGGGGTTATATTCTAAATTTAGATCGGCAGTTAGCGTTAGTATGAAATTTTATTTAAGGGGTAATCTACATATATATCGTTATACAAATTAATAATCTTTACTATCATGCTTATTTGGAGCAAAACACAATTCGTCTTTGTAAGGGTCATGTACATATGGACGAATCTCTTTAAATAAGTATGTTTGACGTTTTAAGGACAAAGGTTTTAAGGGAATCATGTCTAAAGGTTTGTATGGATCAAAAGAAATATTATTTCAAATCTTGGCTTCAGTTCTTAAACTATTAGACTCTAATGACATAAAAACTTTTCCAGGCTTGTCATAATAAAAATAAAAATGCCGAAATGCTTGTATACCATCATATTTAATAAAATAAGATGAGAGAAAAGTTTCAAAGTCGTAATAATTTCACCCTACTTGACCATTTTTATTATATCTAACTGCTACATTACTTCCATCTTTTTTTGATTGATTGATGATTGTTTCAACATGGTCCATGCTCATGACATTGTGTTTATGATATTTGGATTTAATAATTCCAAAATACGAATCACAAATAAACTTGGTGTGACCAGAAACCATAAAATTAAGTTCGATTGTATTAAAGCATTTGATCATAGTAAGCCATGAATAAAACCATAGCATGAGATTATTTTTATTCTGGCCCCTACAATTATCACATATAACTTTTAGATGTCTTTGTGTTGGATTCCAGTTAAGTAAACTATTATATACTAGATTGATAGTAGTATTGTCACCCTTAGGTGTTTTTATTGGCAATTGATGTTCGCCAACTAAATAATTTCTTTGTGTCATCGGTTCTAAGCTAGTGTTAGTGATTCCAAAAACATGAACATTAAATAATGATTTAAAAAATAAACTTCCAGGCTGTCGTGGTGAATAAGGAATTGGGATATTTTAAACCCAGTCATAACAAATATGTAATGTGTTAGATGTTGGTTGTTTACTAATATTAATATTATTATTATAATGCTGACGTTCAACTGCTGCAGCTGCACGATGAAGGTCATATTTAGCTTGTAACTTTTGTTTATTTTCAATATCATTAGTAACTCAAATTTTGGTACGAAGTTGTTTACACTTATCACATAGATCTGATGCCTGAGTTATAAACCGAATATGAGGTGCAACTTCTTTCCAAATTCGATAAAATGATCTGTAAGCTAAAATCTTATAATCTTTATTTTTATTAGATTTAATATTAGTTACATATTCCTCATAGACACTAGTAAATATCTTGTCTTTAGGAAGTGAAACAACGAGTGTTGAAAGGTTTCGCAAATTTCGGCCGTGTGAAGGAAATCCATAAAGATCAGCATAGTTATTAAGATAGTTACTAATTTCTTGCTTTATTTGATCATTAATTATAGCATGATCTGGTCGAATTGAACTACGCCCTGTATTACCATGAACTATTTCAACCATTCTGTGATTTTTAATATGTGCTTTAATTCTATCAAGTCGAGATGAAGAAATTCCAACTAGTACTAAATAGGTAAATAAGCACACAATATGTTGACTATTATAATGATATTGATATTTAATACGATTTTGTATTTCAGAATTGTTTATTTCTTGATATGCGAATGATACAAGTTGTCCTTGGATCCAGGTATCTAAAACATTATGAGACATATTTCGGCATTCTTCTTGTCTTTTAAAAAATTGATGAAATCCAATTTTTTCAAAACAAGACTTGTTTTTTTTTTTGTCGGCCGAATGACTCCGGTATTATGACAAATGATTTACACAAATACTAGTAAAATTATGTACAAATTGAGTAATAAAGTGTTAGTGTTACAGAAACAAAATTATACGGATATGCATATTATATTCATCTCGGAGATTTGTAAACATGTAAACATACATCTTATATGTCCGTACCCGAAAACGATACCTGTATAAAAAGGTGCGTGTTCGATGATATTTCTCTGAAGAATACGAAAATTCAAATCTTATTCATAAAATAAAACTAATACTAACGTTTGTTGTATGAGTGTAAATTGGTTTTCTTTTTGTGACAAATATTATAAACTTAACAAACTTTATTAATTCTACAATTATAATTAAAAATTTATTATCGTTATTACTTTAATTATTGTAATTAAACATGTCTAAAATTTCATTTTTCGATATATCCTTATTTCAATTGATAGGCTATGCCTTATTAATCCTTCTCGCTAAATTATTATATCATTTAATATATAATTTATATTTAAGTCCACTCAGTAAAATACCGAGTCCATTCCTTTGCTCTATATCAAGTATACCCATAATTTTAAGAAGACCTGAAGGAAAAATTTTTAAATGGTTTTTTCATTTACACAAACAATTTGGTCCTGTAGTTCGTATAGGTCCTTCTTTCGTTTTATTTTCTAGTAAAAATGCTGTAAAGCAAATTCTTACAACTGATAATTTACCAAAATCTGATTCTCTTGCTGGAATTCGTTCTGATCCTAATTTCCCTACTTTATTCTCTGCTACTGAAAAAACTTTTCATCAAAAACGTCGTAAACTTTTATCTTCCGCTTTTTCAATTAAATATATTTCTACTCTTGAACCTTTAATGCGTTCTTGTACAGACGTATTATTACAAAAAATTTCATCTCTTTCTAATAACTCTAATAACGTTGATAATACTTTAAATATTTATGAGTTGATACAAGCTTGTACTCTTGATATAATTGGCGAAACCGCTTTCGGTGGTTCTTTTAATATAGTTGAAAAAGGAAATCATCCTTTACCTGAAAAAGTTTTTCAAGAATTAAAAAGACGTGTAATGTGTCATACTTTCCCTTACCTAAAATCTTTTATGGTAAAAGATAATTGGATTGATGAGGTTTGTATTTATTTTTATTTTTATTTTTTATTTTTTTTTACTGTATTATCATATATTAAAAAAACGATTATTCTCTCTTATAAAATTTAGTTCATTTTGAAAATTATAAAAGAACGAAGAGAACTCAATGATCAAGGCAAAAAACGTAATGATATTCTTCAAACCTTACTTGACTCTAAAGAAGTAACTGATGATCCATTAACAGAATTCGAAATTCAAGATCAAATTATGGAATTCGTAATTGCTGGTAGTGATACTGGTTCTCTTACAATAAATATGGCTCTGATAATGCTTCTTTATCATCCTGAAAAACTTGAAGCTTTAGTCTCCGAACTTGATTCTCTAAATCTTCATCAATCTTCATCAACTTTAATTCCATCTCATGATTCCTTAAAAAATCTTAAATATTTAAATGCTGTCATCTATGAAACTCTTCGACTGTTTCCCGCTTCAATAGGTGGAATCCTTCGTCAAACTACAAAAGATACAGTGATTGATGGTTACTTTATTCCTAAGGATACTGCTGTATCTGCTTCAATATGGACTGTTCATAAATCAAAAGAAATTTGGGGTCCTGATGCTGATGATTTTGTACCTGAACGTTGGATAAATTCTAAAAATTCATCAATGAAAAATGCTTTTTATGGTTTTGGGGCTGGTTCCCGTAATTGTATTGGTGTTAATTTCGCTTGGATGGAAATGAGATTATTATTGGCTAGTTTACTATTAAATTTTAAGTTTGAAATGGTCAAAAATCAAGATTTGGATCTTGTACATTTTATTACTCCTGCTTTAAAATCAAAAAAGTTTCTGGTTGGTGTTAAATCACGACATTAACCTTATTTTATTTTATTTGGGTGGATTTGATGGACTTTTTTTTTTTTATTAATCTTTACAAAAATTATTTGCAATTAATTAATAACGTTATCAATTTCTTGTAAATATACTTTTAATAATTATTTTATGTAAAAATTTTTTTTCTTTGTGACATATAATTCGAGCTTAATAAAAATTTCTTTCTTGCTTATTATCTGATAAATATAGTAATGACAGTGAGAAACCAGTTATTGTGAGCACTGATTGTGGGAAAATTCACTCCAGGGTTATGAATTTTGGTCGAGGAGTTCATTAGTGACATTACCAAAATCAGAAAACTGATGACGACCATGTTATTCTTTGTACGTCCTTTTTTAAATAATGATGCTATAAATAACTGATAACATTTGTTGTTCTAGTACCACATTATTTATCATATCACTACGTAATCGTGTAATATAAAATTGAATTTAAGACAAAACGTAACACAAAGACCGATAGAATGCAAAGACCGTCAAAATTAATAAGTGCATAGTTTATGCTTGAACGAACTTATATAAGCAAGCATACTTAAATTAAAAATACGTACAAAATAAAACATATCACTTTGGAAGTTTAGAAAGAGAATTACTACATTATGCGATAGCATATTTCTGTATTTTATGCAAAATTCGCAAAATTCGGTCTTTTAACCTAAAAAGTCAAGTAATACGTAAAAAAATTCATAGTCGTACGTATATATATTTACGTATAATGAGCCTGAAAATTAATACTACCAAAAATAGTAAAATTCTATGAAAGCACAGAAGATACAGAAAAATAGTAATTCAAAAAATTAGAGCAGAAAGAAAAAGAAAGTTAATAAAATACTTATCAGCTATTGTTAAATATAAATTTTTATATTTTCCGTATTATAAATAGATTAGATGAAGAGATTAAAAAAAAATTTATAAAAGCATAAATTTTGATTAGATCGCATTACTGCATTAGCATTTACCGTAAATTCTCGAAATAGCGGGCATGGGCGTTATTCCAAATTTTGGCCAGAATTAAGCTTAATTCGGGCCAAAATTTGAAATAACGCCCATGCCCATAATTTCGAGAATTTCGGTAATAATGGTTTCCTGCAGACATGAAAGTTCTGAATATAAGAAGAATCTTTATGTTGATGGTCAAAATTATTTTTTTGTGAATTTTGTGATCACGTGGATCATACAAAAAAGTCAACATTAGAAAATCTGAAAAGCATAATGTAAATAAATCCGAAATTTAAAATTATCTCGTCAAACAACACTTGATCAACTAATAATTTAAACCATTAATATTGCATTTACTAAAGCTAACATTTCTCTTAGAATATATATTGTAGGAAGGGTACATTTATTCACCGCACCCATTGTTAAAATTCCGCACAAATATGCAGTGCAAAAAAGTTTTTTCTTGCACAAAAATACAATATGCACAATATATATTATATGGGTTGTTGCCTAGCAAATCGGGGCTTAGAGCCGAATTTTTTATTTGTAAATATCAACGATTAATCATTTTAATGCAAAATTTGGCATTGTGATATAATTAGAATATTGCATAACCCATGTATTATTATGATAACGGGAAAAATTAAAATTTCTCTCGAAATTATATATTGCACACCACTTTCGTTATAGTGAATCCTTGATATAGTTAAGCCTAATCAAAGTGCGCTCTCAAGCATCAACCTGGATGCGATTGCACAACGGTTACGCTGTAATTTTAGCTATTCATATAACATTTTAAACACTATAGTGCGAATAGAGATATTATTGAAGTATAGCTATTCATATAACATTTTAGACATCAATAATTCGAATAGATATTATTAAAGTATAGCTATTTGCTAATGATTGTAATGATGCTCAATTGCTACGATGAATCAAAATAGACCTCAATTGCAGTTATTATCGATTTTATGTGGGGCGTTCTCAAGCGCCTCAATTAATGGATTAAAGTATGTCAAAAATGTATTGGGAATTAAATTTTAATTAACGGAAAGTAATTTTAATCGATCAATCGAGCTTGTCATTAAGACGAGTAAGGTAGTTTATTACGTGATAGAAAAATTTTAATTAGTAAAAAATGATGAGTTTGTCATTTCAGTCAAAAACTTTTTGTCCCGAGCCATCTTTTTTTTTGCCCTGAATTATCAAGACTATTAATATTAAAATGAATAAAGCATAGTTCAAGTGTTTGGCATATATTTTTTTGTAAAATTTTTGATAAACTATTTAGAATCCTCTCAAGTTGTGATTGAGATCTTTATTTTGACCCATCGTTGCAATTGAGATTTACTGCAATTTTTAAAAAATCACAGTAATAGCAATTTTGAGCATATCTTAATAATATCGTATCTTATGGCAATGGCTAAAATTATGTCATAATATTTGTACACTATTTTAGATCACTATGAAATCGCATCTAGGTTAACGCTTGAGAACACCTGTGATTTATGAAAATTCCTGATGTTCACTAAAATGTGGTCATCAGGTTACTGATGACAAATTTTTCATTTAATAAAATAATTGTATAATTTAAAATTTTTTTCTTTGATGTAGTAATTAATTATGTATTCCTTAATTGATATCAATAAAAGTCGATCAGTTAAAAGAATTTTCCCACTAATTAAAATTTAGTTTGACACATTTCCGTTTTGATCATTGAATTGATAGCTATGTTAATATCGATGTAAATAATTTTAATCTTTTTATATATTTTAATAAAAGAATTTGTTAAAGTTTTTTGTAATATATAATTTTGAGAGAAATTTTAATTTTTCCCATTATCATAATAATACATGGGTTATGCAATATTCTAATTATATTACAATGCCAAATTTTGCATTAAAATGATTAATCGTTGATATTTACAAATAAAAAATTTGGCTCTAAGCCCCAATTTGCTAGGCAACAACCTATTTGATTTGGCAAAGCCAATATACGTTTTTAAAAGTATATGCTTTATTAGATAGAATGTATGCAAAAACAACATATGCTTCTTTTTATTGTGGCCAATACTTACACATATATTATTTACTTATATGCTAATTGTGCTAAATATGCCTTCTATACTAAATATACTTAATATACTCGATATTCTAAATATACCTACTATGCGAATATGCCCAATATACTCGATATTCTAAATATTCTAATTATGCCAAGTTTGCTAAACAAATATGCAATCGATTGCCTGATTCGGTTATATTATACCAACAATCGATTTGCAATTATAATAATAAATATACAAAACAAAATAGCAAAAAAAATTGCTTATTTTGTTATTAATAAAATTGAAAAGAAAGATAATTAGTTATAGGTATAAGTTAATTTGTTAATATAATAAAAATTTAAATTTTAGAAATTCAAATCTAGCTTCTAGTTAAAATATATCATTATTTTTTTTTCTTGCCTTTCTATTATTGCAAATATCAAGAAATAGATATGTCAAAAAAGTTTGAAAAGTCAGTCAGTAGATTCACATTTTTGTGCTACCAATTAAATAATACACAAAGTAAGAAATATAAAGATTTCAACTACAAAAGATATATATATTATAACTATAAAGACAAAGCTATAATACATGTTAATATAGTTCTTTTTTTTTTTTTTTTTTTTTTTTTTTTTATTGGTGGTTTTTTTTTTTTTTTTTTTTTTTTAATTTTTTTGTT